CATTATTTTCCAAAGGAACAAAATCTCCAACAGCTATTTAATTGCTAATTTCTTCTCTTGTGCCTTTTGACTCAATTCGAGTTCTTTCCAAATGCATTACATCTCCAATGGTTGTTGAGTTATTTGAGTTCTTTCCATTTTGTTCCATGCATTGATTCTTCAAAGATTCCATTCTGTTTCATGCACTGATTATTCTTTGAAGCTTTATTGGTTTTATTAGAACCAAAGTTCAAATTTGTTAGAATTTTGTGGTAAGAAGAAAGGGTTGAAAGAGGGCTTGCAGGAAAAGGAGAGACACCCAGAGTTCCCTCGCCAAACCCATTTTCTTCCATTGATATTCTGCTATTTATAGCAGAAACATACAACATAAAATAGTACTTTTCTCACCTAATATTTACCTAATACAAGAAAATCTCTCAAACATTTAAAGCAAGATTACATTCAAAAGATTTGCTGCCATTTTGTGCAGCTCCAGGTGGCTGTCACTTTGTTGCCACTGTATTGCAGCTTTGCCACCACAACTCCAACACTCCTCCTTGGTGTTAAAGCTGCAGAAAACAAGAAATTACCTAAGAATTTGGAAGCCATTTGCAGTTCTTTGTACTTTGGTTTTGATTTGTTGTTGCTGCCAAGGCCATCTTCCTTAGCAGATCAGCTCCTCCTTCAATGCTGCAGCTTCATCTTGCCTACATTTGCTGTTTTAACAAATTTTTGGAGCTGTGCTGAGCTTTTCTGTAAGTTGCTCAGTTTTCTTCTTTTCATCTACAGCTTCCTTACGGTCATAGATCAGATTCAACTTTTTGGTGAACATGACTTGATGCATGCTCTGAGTTTTCTTCCTTTCTCAGGCTGCACCCTTGATAAACATTCTTTTTCCCTTCGGACTGCTGGCTTTAGAAATCATGAACACCTTCTGTTTGTTGGTCCAGCTTGCCTCTTCACACCATCTCCTCACCATGCTTGATCTTGAGCTATAGTGGGCCTACCATATGCCTTCATCACGTGCTGAGTGATTTGGCTAAAAATGGAAGAGGGATTTCACAACAAAACCTACTGGAATCCATTTGGAAAGGTGGTTTTTTCTGGGTTTTTTTTTAAAAAAAATAAAAGATTGCAATACACAAACTAACATAAAAAGTGTTGGGATTTTTTTTTCAAACAAAGAAATGGAGAGAAAATCAGGAAGAACATAAACGAAAAGGGAGAGGAGTATAACACTCCAACTCAGAAATTTCATTGATATTCTGCTATATTTATAGCAAAACAACACAATATAAAATAATTTTTTCTCACCTAATATTTTACTTAATACAATAAAATTTGCTGCCATTTTGTGCGGCTCCATGTTGCTGTGACTTTGCAACTACTTTGCAGCCTTTCATTTGCATTTGCATTTCATTTTTTATTCATTGCAGCCTTATTTCATCAACATTTGCAGCTTAGCTTGCTGCACATTTTTGCTGTCATTTGAAAGCTTCGTTTCCATCATATTTGCAGTTAAATTGTTGCCATATTTGTTGTCAAATTGCAGCTTCATTTGCTGTCAATTTTCAGCCTCATTGCTGCCATTTCATGGCAGTTTCATTTCATCATTTTTGTAGGTTTGAATGTCACATTTCTAATAATATTTCCAACAAAAAGTACATTGAAACACTATCACAATGCAGCACTTTTGTTGACTAATTTGCAGCCACCATTTGCATCTCAATTTCATTTCATTTTCTTCCATAATGCAACAGTTTGCTGCACTTTTGTTTCTTCCATTAAAGCAGCATTGTTGCTACAAATTTTGTGTCATAAACATAGCTTCTTGCTGCACCATTTTTCTATCTAGTTGCAGCAAACATTACAGCTTTGATTCCATTGCTCCAACACTCCTCCTTGGCATAAAAACTGTGAAAAAAAAAATCCTTTTTCACCTTGCATCAGAACCTGCCATTTTTCAGCTTTGTTGTGCTTGGTGTTGGTTAAACCTCTATCAGACATTCTTTGCCATGGAGCCATGGGAGTTAAGAACATCAAAGCCACATCCATGAAGAGTTTTCTTAGGAAAACTCAAAACATAACCATAGCAAACGTAAAAGAGGGATGAAGAACATACCATGAAATGAAACCAAGTTTCTTTTTTTTTTTTCTTTTTTTTTTTTTTGTGCTCAGTTTCCCATTCCATCAACCATGATTTGCCTTTTGGACTGATTT